AACAAGGAAACTTCTGTTGCGCTATGATGATAGATATTTTATTTACGAAAATTTTATCTCGTTTTTCTGATCATTTTATACGTGACACGTAAAGACGTGCGAGAAGGTTTCGAATACGTCGTTACCGTAGACGGCAATATTACGTTTCACCGCGTTATACGATCCATGGCGAGAAAGCCAAAGGGTTAAATGCGTTATCGCCGCAATTTCCCGCCAGTAGTCACGGTCGGAAAATCAGGCGACGAACACACGAGCGCGCGATAATAAAACGCGATACGTGCGCGTCACAGAAGTTAAAGCGTACCAGGCAACAAATAACACGACACTTGTGACAGTGTTGGTATCGTTTAAAACCGTAGAGATGTCAAGATTTTGCACATTTCAGCCGATTTTCGAGCGGCAGTGCCTAATATTCCTCCCATTTTCCTCTCCGGCGAACCGTCGCACGTACAAAAAACAAACGCGCGGGCTCGACTTCAATTGATGTGATGTCTTCTTTGAACGCTAAAAAGATCCATCAAGAAAATTAATTTTTTTTATAACTCTTATTTTAATTATATTTTTTTTAAAAGAAAAAGTGTTAAAAGAGAAATATTTCAATAGAAAGAGAGAAGTATTAGCCTCAGTGATCAAACTTTTTGTATTTCTGCCATAGGGTGCAACATTTCGTCTTTTAACGTTTTTTTTTTTCGTCGTGTGAATTCGCGTGTCAGCGGGAAGACACAGCGTCATACGTTTCGCTCATTGTTGCACGTTTACAAATGCCAGCGACGGCACGCGTCGTAGTCGTTCCGCGATTCGTCACATTTTCAAGTCTCATTTGTTCCTCGCGCGTTTTCGCTACTACTGCCTTCGCACTCGATCTGCGTCGCTCGCGCTTTGCAAATTGCCGCTGCAGCGCGTAGTAAACGATGACCGTGATGAAATTGGAAGGCGAACACGGTTGATCCGCACTGCAGAAAATTTGTTTCGAAGACTGTAACGCGTTGTAACAATACGGTCGCAATACGTTTGTTTTTTTTTTTTTTTTTTTTTTTTAATATGATCGCTCTGTGAAAAACGTCGCTTCGAAAATACATTCATCAGTAAGGTGTAGTATGCGTCGTTAATAAAATAATCGTAACGTGCAAAATACGAGCGGATATCGTCGCGTCTAATCGCAGCGCTAGCAAATTCAATTGTGTCTAGCAGTCGGAGACTCGTTTATCGTCGCTGGTCGCCTATATCACGATGTCCTGTAAATTTAGAATTTACGCCTATCTAACTCACGGGGAGCGGCTCGCGCGCCAGCTGCGTACTCTTAAATCCACGAAAAACCATACGCGATCACGTGCGAGCGGCGGCGGCGGCAGAGAGTGCGCGCGCGGTATTAATTTCCCGGCAGCGGATCGTGCGGTCGCGCGAGGCTGCGTGGCGCGGCGAGGTTGCCACGCCATGCGTGAAATTGCAACTGCCACGCCATATCGGGCGTGCGTATTCGGGCGAAATTTTAATTTCGCCTTTCCACCTGGCGTGACGCAAAAACGCGGAATGTCACGTGGCGATTAAGCGACGTGTCGCCAGAGATATCCCGCGGATCTGATTGTCACACGGGATTAATGGCATTCGCGCGCGACTACGTGCGCGCTTGCGAGAAGAGAAACTTAGGTGAGGAGCTTAGTTCGTCGCGTCGGCATGATCGAGTTCTTCCATGAGAAACCGCCGGAATGAAGCGCGACGACGCGTCATTACGTTGCGCCTTGCGCAATATCGAGTTCCACGCAGCTTCCTGCTACCATATAAAGGCCTGTGGCCTGCCACAAACGATTCTCCACTTTGCTGAAGCTTGCTACAAGTTGTCGAGACGACTCGGCTTTGCGATTGCTCTCTATTCAAAAGCATGTGGAGCCAGCGTGCCATGCAACTGATGTGACTGCATTTGAATTCTCCGTTCTCTCGTGGAGAGAAACGTGGAAATAGATTCGTGCATCCGCGCGATTACATCATCCCACCCGTCCAATTTTAATTCTCTAATCTAAAAAACTGGCGCAGAGAAAAACACGCGTGGGAACGTACGTAAAGGAAGATCAGAGATCTGTGTGTGGATTGAACCGAGTGACCTAGAACCGTTGATAATACTATCGAGGCTATCACTAGCAGAGATTGAGATTAAACTTGGAACAGATATATGAGATAGTTATATATATATATATATATATGTATATATATATTATCTCGTGTGAATGATAACGTTTATAAAAGATTTATTAATTTTACATTGTTACTTTTTATTCTATCTCAGCTGCAGCTCTTTCTAATGTGTACTTTTTGTCTTTATATTGATATTAAATAAATTTTTGTTCAAAATCAAAAATTTTAGTCTAAGAGTTTGTACAAATTTTTGTGATCTGTTCTTACAATTTTATCTTATCTCGTCGAAAATCGTAGAGAGTTAAAATTGTTGCAATAAAAAGAACTTAATATATCAGTGTACATTTTAGATGAATCTAAAGCGCGTTTTAAGTAAAAGACGTCAGCGTTATTACACTCACACTCACGGTTGACAAAGGGAACCGCGACGGTGATATCACGCGGTTTATTTTCATCGCGTATCACAAAACCGCGGATTCTTTGTGAATCATAGATACGAATGAGCGGAAAGGCGCGGCAGGAAATGAGAGGAGAAGAGTGTAAGGGCGAACGGGGGACGGACGAGCGGAACTGCTGAATATTCACGTGCGCAGATGAATCGAACGGATTCCCCTGAATATTCAACTGTCTATGACGATGATAAAAATTATTCCACGCCAGGGAAGAATCGTATTTCAGAGTTGGCGAGGTACTTTCTCGATACCTCGCTGTGATTTCTTGATGAGCTGACAAACTCCAGAATCTAGACGCTAAACTCACTGAGGAGAGATAAATTATCGGGTCTCCGAGACGTACGTAGATTAAAAAAAAAAAAAAAATGAAGCAAAATGTACGCAAACCTTTTATTGATCGCGAGAGACTTAGAAAAGATAGAAGAGTTTGTAAAAATAATCGTTTTCTAGATAATTAAAACTTCTGAGATACATATTGTATAATTACATTTTAATTATCACGGAACATTCACACACATATTATCAAAATGTTTCACATATGAGAAGCGGATGGCAGAAGAAAGACACGCGTTTTTAATCATTAATTGCATAAAAGTTGGAAAATAAACTGGATTATTATATGGATATGTGACACGGAGACTATGTTTGATTTTCACGACAAAAGAGCAAAGTGCGATAGAGTGCGATTTCAGATCGTCGTCGGACAATCGTACGGAGAGATCGTAGATTTGTTTCTCCAGTCGTAGTCGTGTATCGGCAGAAATTCAGATCGTCGGGAAAGAAAAATATTCCCATTGCTTCTGCGGTCGCGATTTGAATTGTCGGTTAGGTCGAACGTCCACTCCGGAAATTCCGTAGCGGGATTTGGCATGAAATTCCGAAGGCGGAATCTTTCAAGCGGCTCGACCGAGGCGAGCGAGCACATCCCCCGACCCTTTCTCTATGGGCTATGATACTTCGGAGTATTACTCGGGAAACTGGCGGAACGTTATTTACGTAAAAAGAGCGCGGCAGGTAGCGAAGAATTTCTTAAACTTTGCCGAGAAATTCCTTTTCTTTCGCGTTTAGCGAGAAAGTGCGGGGGCGAGCACGAACGGATAGAGAAGCGCGAACTGGGAGGGAAATATTATTGTGCAATTTGAAACACACACAGCGCGGGATATGTATATATATATATAAGCGCGAGCTATGTTGGCGAATAGATATTCTTCTGAACACACAAAAAGCACGCGTTCATACAGTTTCTCCCGCGTTTAGCTCGTGTATTCACAAAACTATACACAACATCAACGCATAACTTGGATATTCGATTCTGTGTGTAGAGAAAAGAAAGTATGCGAGAGCACGAGAAACGCGCGCGCGCGCCCGCGCGTGTAACTCGAACGTGCAGCTCGAAATGCAATACGTCATTTGGTACCTGCAAACGCGCTTCGCGGATCAAATATATCAATAGGATGGTATTAATTAAAATCGGGTAGATAGTTCTCAGCGTTTGCCTGGGAAAATTCGGATTGCGAGAGAAGAATTACTTTATATTCAGGCGATATTGTGTGTTGCCGTACGCGCAGGGTTTAATCAAAGATACCCTTGAGGGGTTGCACTTATACATTAGATTTAGAAGAAAAGTTTTTGCGAACAAAAAGACGACATAAGACGATCGAAACCGTTCGCTCGTTAGACAAGCGCCTCCGGACTTACGCAGAAGCAAACAGTTTTTATTCGTTCGTCTACACTACGGTTTTACAATGTTTTTTTAAAAACCTTGGTATGTTATATACACATTTTACTGCCATACGTATTTTTCCATTATACTTTTTATTATTACTTTTCTCTTACATAAAGTATAGTATATATTCTACTATTATCAATAGATATACACAGATAAAATAGCGGTATCTAGAAATGTATATTGTCATTAAAAGACATGTAAAAATTGAATTTTCTATTTTGCATACTACATGTGCTTAAATGGACGCATCTTATGCGTGTTACATATTTCTTACGCAGTTGTATATTTACAGTATATTATGAATATTTTGCTCATATCTTGTGTGAATAAGTGGCATATAGATGGAAAAGTTATCACCACATTTTGTATGAGCATTATAATCTGAATTTTCAAAAAATAAAATATAAGAAAATAATTAATATTTTTGGTGAATACACGTGCAGCACATGTTTTATACATTTTGCATAAAATTTGTATATTTTGTCACATTTGCAACAATATCTAATCACCTGTCTATCACGTATATGTTAATATAGTCCAATGACTTGGACTGCGCTTAGACAGATATGTACTGTTTAATGATATATTTATTTCTATATACATATAAATATATATATATATATGTATGTATATATATATATATATATATAGAAAAATGTATTACAGAGAGGTTAGAATAATGACAGAGAGGTATAGAATAATGACAAAATGTGGCTCGTCACTTGTGCAACGTGTATCAGTTTACTTTTATGTTCATTATCGACAAACAATGTAGCAACTGCCAAACGAATACTTGTGATTACAATCGCGCCTTTCTACAGTCATCAAACGGTTATCGAGTCAGTTTGCTCAGAATTAAACAAACGCGGACACGAGCTGGTCGTCATAACTCCACATTCAATGAGAAATACATCACAAAACTATACGGAAATAATCGTATCGGAAGTAAAACTCCTGATTGACAGTGTATTGCTTAATATGAATATATGGGAATTGTCTACGATACAAACGCCCATAACTATGACTCAAATATCAAGCAAAATCAGCATCACTATATTCAATAATCCAGAAGTTAAAAAACTTTATAGACACGACAGTAATGAAAAGTTCGATGCGGTTATTGTTGAAGCAGTAAGCAGCCCATCTCTATTCGCTCTGGCACATCGATTTAACGCTTCTATCATAGGTGAGATAATTTTTGTAAGTATGAAATATACACGAGAAAGTCAAAAAATCAAAAGATTCTAAAATAATAAATAAAATTATGCTATTATTTAGATAAGTATATATTGAAAGATTAAATATTAACCTTATGTTTGGAATATCTGATGATGTTCTGGAAGAGAAAATTTATATTGACTAACTTGTTAAACACACAGGATTGTCGAGTTTGCATATGCACAATTATCACCGATACGTATTTGGTAGTCCTATATATCCGTCGCACGCATCTAATTGGGAAATTATTTACGAATTTGATGTACCGACTGAGAACTCGTCGATTTGGGAAAGACTGCGAAACTTTATCGTTACATGGAGATATGTTTATTACTGGATGAATACTTTTGTGGATTTTGAACAAGAAACCATTAAAAAATATCTCGGAAATGACATGCCACCTGTCACAGATATACTGAAGAATATAAATTTATTTTTGACCAATGAGAATCCGGTACATGTGTATCCCAGACCTGAACATCCAAATTTAGTACATTTCAGCGGTTTTCATATAAAAAAAACGCCACCACCTTTGCCAAAAGTATGTAAATTTTTTTCTTAAATATTGTATATTTTTTTACATTATATATTTAGAATAATTGCGTAGCTTTACTTGCGTTATTTATTGCATACGTTTATTGTTTAATGTAAACGTGTGCAATAAATTTATATAATCAATAACAAGGACTTAATACAATTCCTAAACGGCGATGAATTTATTTACGTGAGTTTTGGAAGCACTATTCCCAATGAAATGTTCCCAAGAGAATGGCTGAAGATTTTAGTTCAAGTGTTCTCGAAGTTACCATATAAAGTAGTATGGAAATTTGCGCGCGAGGAGTTACCGGAGGAGCTCGGTAATAATGTATTTATCTCGAAGTGGTTCCCGCAACAAGGCATACTCGGTAAAATTAAAAGTGTGACCCGCTTACTCACACGATTGATAATCTTAGTTGCATGAATTAATTATATATTTGTTCGCGCAGCTCATCCGAAGATCAAGCTGTTTATTTATCAAGGCGGATGTCAAAGTACCGAGGAAGCTATTCATTACGCGGTTCCAGTCGTGGGAATTCCTTTTATATACGAGCAAGTAGGTCGACTTCATCGCTTGGCCTCTTTAGGCGTGGCATTATACATCAACTCCAGAACATTAACCGCAGAAAAGCTTCGATCAGTTATTAATCAGACTACCAGTAATAACAGGTATCGTGCGTGAAGATCTATAAGATATATAACATTATTTCTATTGTTATAAATTATACAAGATATAAATGCAAACAAGTTTACTATATATAGTTTCTCTGTGACACGTAAATACACAAGTCAGATATGTATATATTATTACTTGGAGAAATGTTTGCGTAAAATGCAAAACAATGCGATTAAAACAATATTTAACGAATATTTAAATACTTAGGTATAAAGAAAAAATGGAGCATATAAGCGCTGTTTTCAAAGATCAACCATATGACAGTATGGAAAATGCAATTTGGTGGATAGAATTCGTGATGCGTCATAAGGAGCAGCTACAATTTAAAATCGACGAACCGTGGTATCAACTTTACAGTATCGACATCATTGCGCTGCTTATCACGATACTATTTACAGCGGCATTTATAATAACGCTAATCATCTTTCATATTATACGATATTTTGTTTAATTTTTGTTTTCTAAAATAAAATACGTATTATAAAATTAAATAATATAAATTCAATAACAATATAGTGACATTAGGTGTAACATTATTTAACTCGAGAAACCTCTAGAAAAGTAGAAGTAATACAAACGTTATATGTTATTTACGTTTCTGCAAAAACCAAAAAAAAAAAAAAGATATGTGGATCGCCGACACGAGAAAGATTTTCGCGTTTGAATCTGTAAACGTCGATGGGGTCAACTGATATTTTAAGATCGCGCGTAAAACAATCTATAGCGTTGATGGGATTGCGGGCTGCCCCAGACATAGGGAAAGAGCCATACTTGGGGATCGACGTAATCAACTGAATGAATGAGCAAGTGACTCCGGAGGGTCGACATCGTGCGGGCAACACACACAGCTTCGCCGCTCTCTTTCTCCCTTTCTCTTTGCTTCACTCGGTGCGGTCATCTGAATAAACCATGAGTGTTGCCTTAATGACGGAATCGAAGGTAGGTACAAACGGTGGCCACACACCGTCCCGCTTCGGTGGTCGAATCACTGACAACAATATACACAGTGCGGATAAATTGCGGTGGATTTCTTTGTCATATCACGTCTTAAAAATTTCACATAATTGTGCTCATTGTGTAATGTTCCATAGCGCTTTAAACAGAAATTTGCAGTAATTCCGACTGAGCGTGCGCCGTAGAAATAAAAATATGAAGTAAAACACTTAACATATGGATATTTTTTTGTGATTATATCTTTGCTTTCTGTGTATGCTATCTGTTTTTATATTAAATATGTCAAGTGACGCAATCGAAATCGCGGCATCGGTATTTCTGAGTCGAAAGTGCAACACGCGCATTTTGACCGCACCGATGCGATATGCCCGATAATGTTTGCACAATCGGTATCTAACACAGAAACGACCGACAGGTTTGACATTGACGTGATGTTTAAACATTGTCGATGTTTTACCGATGCACATCCATTAGCACATATTTGCGTTCACGGTCGCGGCGATAAAAAAAATGCACTGCAGACATGTTTGCTCAAAGCGTATTTGGAAAAATGCCGAACATGCGGCCGCAGTCGATATTATTTTTAGACAGCATTTTCTATTGTGTTAAAAAAACGTTCGTAGAAAAATTTTTACATGTCTGTTTCTATATGTGTATTACTGCACGACGCCGAACGGAAAACACGGCAAGTCAATGTAGACAAGTAGAAATCGCAATTAAACGATGAATTTTATATGACGCTCCTCTCAGTAATTATACTTCGTTCCGTTTGTAATTTCCTTAGATAGCTGGTATTTTATTTAACTACCTTTTAATAGTCGACGAGTCGTCTGAGTTGAAGTTCCTGTGATACTTACTAAAATTTACTCGTGCCCTTTCTGAACTTCCTTTTAAGGACGGAATAATTAAAATACTTCAATTAGACGAATTCTTATCTTCCCCGCCAGATTTTTTCCCCGCTTCCTCTTTCTGTCTCTCTCTCTCTCGTCGCGTTACTTTGTGATAAAGTTAATTAATGTAACAGATATTAATTAATCGCATTTTACAAAATTTTATAAATGCAGATAAAAAAAAAACTGTTAAAGCATCAACAACGAGAAAGAAAGCAAAAGATACAATATTTATAAATATAAAGTCAAAGAACGATATGTATACATCTGAAATATGTGCATAATCTGATTGATTTTCAATTTCACGGGTTTTTTTTTTGTCGATTAGTGTGTTCAGTCGCTAAATCGTCACCAAATCGACGCATTTGCGCTTTTATCTCACAACCGCGTTACTTTGACGTTGCCACATAAAGTTAGTAATGTGTATATTTGCAATTGTAAATTCAAACATAATATTTCGAAAAGCAGTTGTAACTTTATTTCGTTCACCGCGCATATCGCGCACAGTTTAAAATAACCGCAATCTATCTATGTTTCCTGTATGTTTCTATTTTTAACAAACATTTGCAGTTTAGATAGTTTTAATTATGTTCGAAAAATATTTCAGCAGGTTCTTTTATCAACCAACTAATATTGTAAGATAATTTAGAAATTGATTGTAAGATAATATAAAGACTTTTATTTAATGAAAGATACATCGATATCCGATTGCATAATGTATTGTCGACGGCTGATGAGCGCAGATGATGACAAATAACGAGAATGAAAAGATTTTATCAAAGTAGGAAATGTTTCCGACGAAACATTACGCGTGTATCGCTCGCGGTTTCAGGAAACTGAATGTTGTTTGAAAAGAAAAATAACTGTCGCATTGACGTCGCAGCCGAGCACGTGGCGCGTAATCTTTAAGAATATCCCACGTGTTCGGGCGTCAGAATGACAATGCAAACATTTCTCTCGCTCATTGAATATCGCTTGTCACTCCTTCTCTCTTTTCTCGTTGAACATGCGTTACGGAGAACAACACCGAACGAGCGAACGTCGCGAAACGGATTTTATATTGACGTCCTCTTGAATTCTTCCCTCGGCTTTTCCACCCGCGTTATAATGCAAACTGTCGGATTCCCCGCGCGCGCACTCATATCGCGGTCTTCCTCGTCGTAAGCTTCCGACAGCCTCGCGCTATGTACCGTGGCAGCCTTATAATGTTCACATGACGGGAACCAGAGGAAAACGCCGCAGGTGCTTGCGCGGATCGCGTGCTCGCTCACGCGCGCCGCTACCTTTCCGGACAACCATGAATTAATAAAAGGTGCGTCAATCTGGGGATGCGCTTAACGCGTGAGGTACTGCGAGAAATATTTTATTTTTCAACGGAAGCTCGAAAAAAAGGGAGATGCGCGGGAATATCCGCGATCGCGTTCGCTGCACTCAAACGGATGCCATTTCGTTGTCAGTATATAGACTTCGTTTCTCTCTTCTATCAAAACTTGCAAAACAAAATTCTTCAACGTTACTGTTGAGTTTTATTGTACAAATTGTTTTTAAAGAGAGTGTCAAAAATAATACATTCGAGATTCATTTTAAGCGTACAAGATAATAGAGTTTTAGATTTAACATAACTAAATACAGTATAGTTATAACTAGATACATTACTCAGTCCACTAATTTCTTTACCAAATACTAAATAGACAGTTTGATTTAAAAACAAATATCGAAACGTTTCGAGTAATCAATTTTAAGTGTTTCTTTATGGCAAAACATCTCGCTCAAGATTCTAACAGCTCAATACAATCTCTAATTTGGAATTACTAGCACAACACAGGCGCGCGCTACGCGCACGCTATTGTCATTTTAATTTAACGTGTTGTCAGTGAACACAATCCGTCACCGCGATGATAGATAGTATATACGTCTTATAAACCATATATATATATAATACACATATGAGAAATGTCAGAAATAATAACTATTTTTTGAGTTTGATTTTCATGCGTTATTTCTGACATTTCTCATATGTGTATTATATATATATGGTTTATAAGACGTATATATATATATATACCGTAATCACGTGACCGAAGTTAGAGGTCAGTGACCCCCCCCACCAAGGCCGCGCGGCCGCGGTCAGTGACCCTCCCCCACCAAGGCCGCGCGGCCGAGGTCAGTGCCCCGCCAAGGCCGCGCGGCCGAG